TTTTCTTTTATAAACTAAACTAGTGCTAAAACAAGAAACTAAAAGATTCGATTGCAAGATCTAAAGATATACCTTCAAGCGCTAACCACTCCGGCAACGGCGCCAGAAAAGAGCTTGATGTCTACTACAGAACCTTCTTCTTGTAGACGTTATTGGGACTCCAAGTGCAGAGGTTTGTAGGACAGTAGCAAATTTCCCTCAAGTGGATGACCTAAGGTTTATCAATCTGTGGGAGGCGTAGGATGAAGATGGTCTCTCTCAAGCAACCCTGCAACCAAATAACAAAGAGTCTCTTGTGTCCCCAACACACCCAATACAATGATAAATTGTATAGGTGCACTAGTTCGACAAAGAGATGGTGATACAAGTGCAATATGGATAATAGATAATGGTTTTGTAATATGAAAATATAAAAACAGCAAGGTAACAAGTGGTAAAAGTCAGCGTAAACGATATTGTAATGCGTTGAAACAAGGCCTAGGGTTCATACTTTCACTAGTGCAAGTTCTCTCAACAATAATAACATAATTGGATCATATATCTATCCATCAACATGCAACAAAGAGTCACTCCAAAGTCACTAATAGCGGAGAACAAACGAAGAGATTATGGTAGGGTACGAAACCACCTCAAAGTTATCCTTTCTGATCGATCTATTCAAGAGTTTGTAGTAACCTTACTAGAGGGGAAGCGACGTCTACTTCCTTCGAACCAAAGATGAAGAAAGAAGAATGCAAAATCAAGAATCCGCAGATAAACAATGAATGCATGGAGAAGATATTAGTCCAACTAGTGGGAGCAGTTATGAAAGTTGAAAATCTTCTAAAATGCATACTTGTGGTTCTTGTTTTCTTTGGTCTTACTATTCTAGTAAAGATTTGGTGATGTCTTATGTATCCAATGTTGTTGAAAAAGCAAAGAAATGCATTATGTTGGATCAAATTAAGGTGCAAATTTAGGTTTTCCGAGGCGGGAGGAGCTGCGCCGGATCAACCCTGTAAAGCCGACCCGTAAAAGAGCATATTCCGCTAATATCCTTTTTTACGGGTCCGTTATGCGGAGTGTGCAACTGCGGCCATCCGCGCCGCCCGCAAAGCGTTTTTCCGCAAACTGCAAACACGTTTTGCGGACCGGTCGGATGCGGGATCTGCTAGAGTTGCTCTTAGATCACTATTTTAGTTATCAATGATCTTATATTAATTTACAGATGGAGTAGTTAGCACGAGAGTTGGTAAATAGGATGGGGTGTTTCATGCTTGAGAGGCGACTAATGCACAGGCGCTATTATAACTGTGCTACTGATAAATTGTTGCAAGAAAGTTATCTCTTAGGTGTAGTTGAATTAACAACTCAACTGCTAAGGCTTATAAATATTTTTTTAGCTTCCTTTATGTCGAATCAATAAATTTGGATGAAATATTACCCTCGAAAACTGTCATGGCCCCCTTATACTTATGGATCATCAAGACTATATTCCCGCGCTGTTGCCGGGGAGTATAGCTCTATTTATTAAGTTCACTTGGAAGTCAATTATCTGATGTAATTTATCTTTACTATGAAGAAACTCAATTTCGTTTTGAATTCTATTTTTCCTTCAAAAGCAAACTTTCCCTAAATGCCAAATGGAATATTTTTGAATAGGTATACATTTTGTTTGGTCCTTTTGAACAAATATTTTCTGCCACATATTTTGAACGCCTAGATTAAATATTGTATTAAATTTCAATTTGTCTTAAAACCCATATATGCTCTAAATCTAGTATGGAATATTAACAAAAAGTCAAATGTTTTATTGGTAATTTATTTTTCTGCTCAAGTAAATACAAAGTCCTTCTAAATAGTTTCCCTTTTGGATTTTTGAATATATTCCAAGAACCAATCCAATTTAATCTTTTTTGGAAACTTATCATAGGCTTAAATATTGTTTGGGTCTTATTAAAAATACTTTTCAGCCCAAATAAATCTTTTAACTTGTCACCGCATTTTGGGATTCAAAATTGTTTCCTAAACCTTTTAGGGTTCATTCTATTTTCCCAAATTTCAAACTAGGGTTTCAAATATTGTTTGAGGTTTATGGAATTTATTCCAACCCAATGAAGGCATCTTTGTGTGTGCTCAATTTGGATTATATAGTTACTCACTAAACTTCTACTTAGGTTTCTTTATAATCCCAAATTTTAATTGAGTCACTTTTTCAAACAATTCAAGCAATCAATAATCAATTCTAGCTAAAGTAATCATTGTCAAACGACATCAAATGCGTAATATAATGTATGCAATGAAAATCCATACATATCTTTGGTTACTCGTGTTAGCAGTGAGTTGATACGTCCAAAACGTATCTACTTTTCTAACCACTTTTGCTTGCCCCAGTTAAATAATCTTTCTTGGACTAGTTATTATTATTACTAATGGTGTTGTTTACATGTGCACTTGACAACAATTCACCAAAAAAGTAAAATGATATTTTTGGGAGTTTTGGAGCAAAAGAGGAAGACCACCCGAAAGATGTCACAAGGACCGATGAGGGATTCCACCCCCACACGTGGGATTGTGGTATGGCTGCATGGGGCCATATGCATCCATGGCTACCATCTTCCAGCTATAAGACCGAACCTTTAGAGGTACAGAGTCTCTTGGAACCTCTTGCTTCCTCTTATGCTACAATTGTCAGAGGCGAGAAGGCAGCAATTTCTGAGAGCGGATGCTCGTCAGCGCACTAAGTAGCCTAGCATGTCTCCGGTGGTCCTTATGGATCTCGAGGATGTGGCAAGGTTTGCTTTCATGTTGGTAGGTGGGGAGTTGAATCTCAATGTTAGTGGAGTTTAGTGTCCATGTGAAGATGGAGATGTAGTAGCGGCGTTTTCTCGTCGAAGTAATGTTCTTCCCATTCTCTCCCCATTCCAATGGTGTCCTTCTCGATGATAACATGGATGAAACGACGATAATGACGGTGATTTTTAGAAAAGGGGCGTGCGGGAGGAGCATGTACTCAACTTCAAAGGTTCAATGTCGGGACATCAATTCTTAAACCGGCGTCGGCACGGGGGCATGACGCTCTCTATGGGGACTATTTTGGCCCTTGATGCACTATTTCAACTGGTATTTGCAATGTCGATACCGGATGCACCACCCATTGTCCTTGCACATCATGAAAGGTATGAGGGTATATGATGGTTACTTAAAGATGAAGAAGGATACCACTGGCTACATTGGTGGACATTTTAAGGGCATCCGTTTAATTGTCCATGTTGCCCTTACGAGGCTAATTTAAGCTTGTTGGTGTTGGTTGCCAGCATTGTTGAGAAAATCATTAACTGGTAGCTGCTGAGTTGGCTGGCATGTAGGGGATTAATAGACTAATCATCCATTTAATTAATTAATCGACCGATTTATGAAATTATCGGCTACTTAGTGACGCTACGAGTAGGTTTAATTGGCAAGTTAACTGGTTATTTGGACGAATTCATGAACAGGGGTTACCGGTGCAGCCTACAAACGCCTTATCCTTCTCATATGGTGTGTTAGCTGTGTTTGTTTTTCTTAAACAAGGATGAAATGTATGTGTTTGAAAATTCAGAATGAAATTCCTTGAATCGCGACTTCGTACAAAAAAAAACAAATGCATGGAATTTGAGAATGAATGGCATCACGTGTTGAAAGGCCCAATATTTTTTTTTCTTTCTTTGCACAACCCTCATTTCGACGTAATTCGTCCTAAAAATTTGCACACATGTGTATATCTGTATTTTTTTCAGAGCTTTTCGAACTGTAAAAAATATGAATTTTGAATTTTGCAAATGGAGGCAGGCCTGCACGGAGCTCCTCGGCCAAAAGCAATTTTCGGTTTTCCTACACACTGGTGTAGACAGAGATACTAAGCAGGCCAATAAAGGCTCAAAGCAAAACAGCAATAAACCCAGAGAACAGCATCAGCTCCAGCCAGCCAAGGCTGTGCTGTGCTTTGCTTTGCGTCTTTGGCCCGCATCGGGCTTGGAGCTGAAGAGCAAAGGCTACACAGTGCTCCTCTCCTAGAAGGCAAAGCAAAGCGCAGCAGCCAGCAGTAGCCGAAGAGCAGCAGCAGCGGAGGCCCCCAAACCCAAAGCTCGCCAAAGCTTTCGCTTTATTCCCTTCATATTGGCCTCCGTGCCTCCCTCCCCCCACACTCCTCTGCTACTGCCGCTGCTCCCTCGCCTCGCCTCGCTCTGTCCGTCCCCTCCTCCTGCTCGCCTCCCCCTCCTTGAACCCACAGACCGCGCAGCGCAGCGCAGAGCAGAGCGCCGTCCGTCCTCTCCCGCCTCCCCCTCCACGACCCTCCAGCGCCGCCGGCGCCCGCGAGCTCACTCCTCGCATTGCGCGCGACGTGGGCGGCCGGGTCGCCTCCGTGTCCTCCGCCGAGTTCCTTGGATTCACTTTCTTTCCCCCAGGTGCCGGCCAGCCCCTCCCCCATTTATTTCCGCTGCCCCTGCCGGCCCCCGGGCGTTCCCGCACGGCCGGGCCATTAACTCCCGCCCGCTCGCCCGCCACCGGCATTGATCCGACCGGGCGTCGTGAGCTGGGCGTCTGGTGGGTTGTAATTGCAGGAGCTTTCTCTTTACAGGCTCGTGTCGCCGGCCTCTTTTGGGGCTCTCTTTAATCCTGAATCTTGCCGTCTCTGCTTCCGTTCTTGATCTCGTCCCCCCACCCCCAAATACGCCATTCCTTGGCCCTTCTTTTCCCCACCAATCGCCTCTCGAGGGATTCTCGCCCCTTTTGTCTGAGCCGCCGAGCAATTCTTGGCAATTCCTGCTTCTCCTTCCCAGCGCGGAATCTTCCGAACAAGGGGTGAAAAAAGGGGAGGGAGAGGAAGAATCCGCCCTCCTCCCTTTTGCTTTAGGATATCTATAAACTGTTCGTTCTTAGTGGGGCTACTAGAAAAGGGGGCGAAATTGGGAGGGGATTGGGGGGAGGAGCCATCCCATCCCACCCCTGGACCTGCTGCATGAGGAAGCATTGAGACAATGAGAGATGAGACTCCAACCAAGAACAGGGTAAGTGACCACACATCAATCAACAGCTACTAATAGTATTATCTTCACAATTATCCTGTGTCCAGTCTCTGATCTTGCTTTGGCTCTGATTGGTGTGGGGGAAAAGCTGTCCTGGTCCAAGACCATCGTTAGGAAGTGGTTCAACATCAAATCAAAAGCCAAGGACTTCCATTCGGATTATGGAGTCGAACAAGGTACTAACTACATGCTGTTAACCTCAGGCTTTTTTCCCTCGGTGTTCTGGCTGCTGGATATGAATTTCCTGTTGTTTCCAGGAGCAAGTTTGACCTCCTGCTTCCTACTCCTATGTAGTGTAGTAATTTTTTTTTGGTTATTGTTGCAGAAACAACCAAACACATGCTTGAGACCTCAGTAAAAATGCAGATTGTTTTCACTGTCCTTGTGCTAAAATTTTGCTCTGACTATTTCAGTGGGGATGCAGTGGAGGACCAGCTTCTCAGAGAGGGATGTGTGCAAGACCAAGAAGAGCAGAACAGGTACTACATTTTGCTTGCGTCCTCAGTCCTCACAGTAACTATCACTGCATTTTCAGATTTTTCACCCCTTTCCATGGGTGCAAAATTGACCGGTCAACATGGTGTCCTATGCCCAACTGACCAAATTAACTCTACCTGTCCTCCTTAGAGAGGCTGCCCAGGAAGAACTCGGATCGGGACTGTCGAGCAGGAAACGGAATCGACCGCGCCTACATCACAAACACGCAGGACTACAGGTATATAATGCTTCTGTACAACAAGATCGATTCGCCGATCATTGCGAAAGCGAAGTCAGTCTGATGTGACAATCCATGTAACCGTGTGCTTAGGGTGTTCGCTGGTACATGGAATGTGGGAGGAAGGTCACCATCCAGTCATCTGAATCTGGAGGACTGGCTCCATACTTCTCCTGCTGCTGATATATACGTCATCGGGTATAACTCTAAACTCATGCATTTACTTGAGCAAATATTCGTTTTTTGATATATAGAGCATAAACATCCTGAAAAATGGTCCAAATGAATAATGAGAATGTTGTTGTCCTATCAGGTTTCAGGAAATTGTTCCTTTGAATGCTGGCAACGTCCTCTTGACCGAAGACAATGGTCCAGCGAAAAAATGGGTCTCTCTTGTGAGAAAGACGCTAAATAATCTGGATCTCCAGGGCTCTGCCGGGTACAACTACCACACCCCGTCGCCGGCTCCGGAACCTATCGCGGAGCTTAATGTCGATTTCGAGAGATCGTCAAGAAGACAAAAGAACTCTTCGTTCTTCCACCGGCGTTCGTTTCAGTCCTTGGGTCGAAGCTCAAGAATTGACATGATGGATCCACACTCCCTAGTGGACCGACGGTTCAGTGTTTGTGACCGGATTAGCTTTGGGAGCAGGCCAAGCGATGTTGACACCAGTATGAGGTGTGGTGGGTCCTCTGATGATGAGAATATGGACGAGGAATCACCTGGTGGCACCTTCTTCTCACCAATGCCATTTGGATATGGTGCTCCACTATCAACAGATGACAACAACAGACGGTTGGTAAACTCTAAGTAAGTATTCTTGACAATGAATATATATTCTTTGCGCCTGTAGCATAACTTAGTTGTTGCTGAGACTAAGTTGCTAGATGACACAGTTTCCACTGGAAAGTAGGAACTACTAATATTTCATCGATACATCTTACAAGCTTCATATTCATTCATCACTTGGAATGGCTAAAGTTCTCTGAACTGAAACTCAGATTTTCTATGACACAGCAGGTATTGCTTAGTTGCTAGCAAGCAAATGGTTGGGGTTTTCCTCATGATTTGGGTGCGGAGTGACATAAGGGAGCATGTGAAGAACTTGAAGGTGTCATGTGTTGGTAGAGGCTTGATGGGATATCTTGGAAATAAGGTACTGTTTGCCATTTATTGCTCAGCTTTTCTAGGTGTGCAGTAGTCAATCTTAAGTTCGTTGTGTGCATTTATTTTTTCCTGGCACTTTTCTTGGCTTTACATAGTTTTATATATGACCCATTCCCTCTTTTTTTTCTTAGGGATCGATATCAATCAGCATGTCTCTGCATCAGACAAGCTTCTGCTTTGTTTGCACACACTTAACATCAGGTCAGAAGGATGGCGATGAACTTAGAAGGAATGCGGACGTGGTGGAAATATTGAGAAAAACCAGATTCCCACATGCTCATGGTGCACGCGACGAGAAGTCGCCAGAGGCAATTCTTGACCATGAGTATGTAGTACTTCCAGCTCGGCTGTACCCAAGTAGAATAAAATTGCACAAATGGAAGACCAATATCTTATATAGTGTCTCATATATTTTGTTTCTTTCAGTCGAATAATATGGGTCGGGGATCTGAATTACCGGATAGCTCTTTCCTATCGCTCCGTGAAGGCTTTGGTCGAGATGCACAACTGGAAACAATTGTTGGAAAAGGATCAGGTAAGCCATTCTGGTCAGAGGTTCGGAACTGATAACATATCATATACCTCTTGAAGCAACTTGCGCAGCTCTGGCGATCACATTCTTGGCCTTGTTTCTTACCTGAAAATTTTCTGCAACAGCTTCGTATAGAGCAAAGGTTTGGTCGGGTATTCGCCGGCTGGAAAGAAGGGAGGATTTATTTTCCACCCACGTACAAGTACTCATACAACTCCGACAGATACGCGGGCGACGATATGCATCCAAATGAGAAGCGGAGGACGCCCGCATGGTAAAAATTCACAAAACAAAACTTATCGATGCATTATTACATCCAAGCATACCTTCTTCCCCTTTTACATCATGACTTTCCCCTCAACGAAAACATTTTTCTTTTCCTGAAGGTGCGATCGGATTTTATGGCATGGCAGAGGCCTAAACCAACTATGTTACGTCCGCGGCGAGTCTAGATTCTCAGACCACAGGCCTGTATACAGCATTTTCACGGCAGAGGTTAAACTGCCGAGCCAGGCCCAATTCGGCAGCTTCACCCGGTCCAGCTCCCTAATGGGGGTGGATGAACTGCCATACCCAACTTATCCACGCAGTTACACAGATATCAACTTTTACTGATTGTGCATCCCCATGGAGCCAAGGTTTGTATTCTACTACTAGTACCAGTATATTCACTGCACTGTCTCATTGTTTAAGCTGGCTGCTCTGTCAGCTTCACTGAATTCCATGTGAAGGCATTGTTGTACTCATCATCATCATAGCTTCCCTGCAGACATTCTTTCTTCGGTGCCAGAGTAGGGGCAGTAGCTTCATTCCTCCCAAGATTCCAGCAACTGTAATATTTCCAGGCAACAGGTGATTCTGAACTGCTCTGCCCTTCCCCCACTCCAGTTCTTGTGCCTCCTCATGGTTAGTGCTGTGATAGCATATGCAGAGGGTATGCATTTTTTTTTTATTATACCACCATGAGTGCAAAAGTTTGCTTGAGCTAACACCTCAGCTCTCACCGTCGTGCAGATTGCAGATACTCAAGAAGATGCCATCTAATTCTAGATTTTTAGGTACGTGATATACTTGACTAGATCGTCGTTTTCGAGAGACAGTTTAAAACGGGACCACTAATAAGACCTTCCCACACTTGTCTACAGGAAGATTTGCACCGTCCGTCCGTTCTGCACAGTGTTGATTGATTCTAACCGTCATCCCTGGGCGGGCACACATTTCATTTCCAAACCAGAATCCAGAATGCAGGACTGCTCTGGTCGTGATTTAAGCTAGTAGATAGGGTAGGAGTCACTGACAGCCGAAGCTAATTTTGTGGCGTGCCGTTTGGATTTCCTTTTTCCGGAGTGGTTTGTGATCCGGAAGGGAATGCTTGTTTTTCTTTTTCTTTTCTTTTTTTCTCATATTTGCTTGGTCTCCTGATGTAACAAGAGCCACTTGGCTCGGCTCGGCTCGGCCCAGCCCAGTCATTTTAGTCAAAATAGAAAAAGAAACAGCCACCATTTGTACAGCATTATCATCATCATACCATCTGAAGCTTGAGCGGTTGAGCCGTTGTGCTGTGCCTATGATGGATTTACTATGTTTATAGTGCTTACTACTGGAGTGTCCCTCCCCATGCTTGGCAAGAAATGATCACCGGGCAGCAGAGGCTTGCGCGCAAAGCAATGCTCCCTCCCTCCCAGGACAAAAGAAGAGAAAGTTTCACCCACAAGCCGCCTCTGCCTCTCGCTGCCTGCTGCTGCGCCCTGCAATATTGTTTTGTTTTCTTGTAGCTTTGGCAAGGCCAAGGGAGGGGTGAAAGTGAAACCTAGAGCGAGGGGCAGAGGCTGCTGGCTGCGTGGGCGGCAGGCCGGGGGACACGAAAGCGGTGGGGGCGCGCCAAAAGGGCCGAGGGGCGCTCCCTTCCCTGTCCGTCTACTCAGATGGAGTGCAGGCGCGAGCACTCGGGTGCTACCGGTCAATCGCTCGTAGGAGTGGTACTACGACGCCATTGCCATGGCCATGTCTGCTGTGTCTTTTGCTTTCTCATCAAAAGGATGGAAACAAAAAGAGACCCTCGCTCGCTCCGTCCAAAACTACTGTATATCCAGGGTCCAAAGTGGAAGTGCACTAGAGAAGAGCATCTCGTCTCAGCGGACAGGACGCACCACCTGTGTCGTTTTTACCACGGTATCTCTTTTGCTTTTGTGTTACGCCTCGCCGGGCTGTAAACCCTAGGCTCATCTCCCTTCCGTCCACGGCTGGCCGCGAGAGTTTATACTACTACACTGCTACACTTCAGGCATGCTGCTTGCTTCTTGCAGGGCAATGAGCAGTTGTCAGGGTGAATAAATCAGCGGCTACACGAATCGTATGGAGCCACGGTCGCCATGGACATGGAGCGAAGCCAGGGAGCGCATGGCAAGGACTCAGGCCAAAGATGGCACCCACAGTCACGGGCAGCAACTGGCACCTGGCCGGACCGGCGCCGCACGCCACCGGCGTCCTCCTACACTAGACGGTTCTACTATTTTTTGGACGATGGACATAGGCTTTCGGCGCTCGCTTGGGGTGAGCGGCACAGCAGCGGCGGCCGAGAAAGGAAGGTCCGTGCATGCGTATACAAAATAGCGTGTCCGTCCGTGTGCGTATGACATCCGCATGGGAGGAGGAGACCATGGCACTCCCGCTGTCCCCATTTGTACGTCTCACACGGCCCAACCAGCTCCCTTCCCTGGATCTCGACAAAAATCCCATGCATGTCGACCAAAATATAAGATCGATAACGCTAAACATACAAAAAGTTACACACAATTACACGCTAACTAGGCTTCTTTCGTTCTAACTAACCTCGTGATTTGCAATTACTAGCGCTCACAAGAAAGTGGCGACGGCGACGTATAATCGCCTCGCCTCGCCGGGAAGCTTTCGTTAAGAGGGAGAACAAATGGCGGGATGCCGGCCACTCACGTCTCGTGTAGCCCCATGATCTGTCTGGTGCTGCGTAACATGGACAAGGGATCTGGATCAGACCTCGCGTCCCCATCATGTGTGCACGAGTGGAGTCCCGCGGTCGCATTAAGGGCGCGCGGCTCTGTGTCCAAATCAAGCGCTAATCCATCGATCGTGCTGGAACACAATTAGCATCACGCTCTGTCACGGGCTCATTCCCATCGACGAGGACGACAGAACGGAATCCCCGTCCACGCGTCCGTCCGGCGGAACAAGGAGGGAATAAATCCGTGGATTTTTCAATCAAGCTTAAAAGCGTTCTTGAATCCTTTTTCTTCCGCGTCTCCTCTCTAAATTATATTCTTCCAGGCTCTGATTTACGGAGTTGTGGGTAGGGTCCTCTTCCTCTGTTGCATTGCATTTGCATGCGCTTCTTTTCACGTAGAACGCCGTCGGGTTGAGTTTATCTCCACTTGTTGTTGTGGTTGCAAAATCAATCTCCACTTGTTGTTGTGGCATGCCCGGTTGCCCCCGCCTGCCGAGGGTTCCCGGGACAGGGGCTGCCAGACGGTGGCATCGCTGCCCCAACCCAACCTTACGGATCAGCGGTCCTGCACAATCCATTACCGTGTCTATTACTCCTGCTCCTGTTGTGGGCAGGCCCAGTGATCTTGCCGGCCGGCCGCCGGTTGTATTGTACGTACCGACGGAACCGAGCTCCTGGTCACAGAGTCTAGTGGCCGATCAGTCTGCTGTTGCCACTCTGTGATATGATATCGGTCGGGGATATCTTTTCCTCGTCAGGGAACCTGCACACGTTGGACGACCCCATCGATCCCGAGAGCCGGTGCTGCAAACAAGTTGGGCATCCGTGTCCCTGCGCTGCTTGCTGGAGGTGCCACTTACTTAGAACACTGTACGTCCACAACTTCATGTCGTCTACTCGTTGCTGTCCACTGCCCTGCCATCTCTGCCTCTCTTTTCTTTGTCTTCTCCGCGCACAGACACGGAGAAAAAGGAACAATTCCCAGCTTGCATTGGTCTTATTTCTTCACCGTACGTGTTGATTGAAAAGACTAAACTAATGTGCAAAGTAGCGCAGTATACACGAAATGCATCTTCCTTTAGCGGGACAAGAGGGCGGCCACCCCGGCGATTCATGGGCCTGTCTCCGCCGACGCCGAGCCGTCGAGCCCATCTCGTCTATTATTCCGTGACACGTACGTACACGGCCCTCCTCTCGCCGGCCGCCGGTCAAACCAAGACGCCGCAACCGCCGTCCTCCTAGTGCACCGCGCCCGCCCACTCACCCGCCCGTCGTCGTTCCGTCGCCGCCGGCACACCAGAATATACGCGCATGCGCAGTTCGGTGCACGGCGACCCATCAAAATTTTGTAGAGGCCACGAACGATCGAATGATCAGCTCTTTCTCGAGAGTAGCAGTGGGGGCTCAACAAGCTAGCCACTCAACCCCAAAACAAGGGGACCATAGGGACCCAACGCGCGCACATGCACATATACATATTGTAACAGCGTTTGGTATTGGAAGATTGATAGATCGAGCTGGGGCTACAGCAGCGTTGCAACAGCACGGACACACACGCACGCATCACCTGTATTATGTGTGTTGTAGTGAAGCTCCCACTCACCCCAAGAGGAGGAGGTGGGTGCCTTTTGTGGGGTTCATGAGTGTGTGTGCATTTAGGAACACCTTGGCTTGGACCATGCATGCATGGACAACCATCCTATTGGAGATGTCTTGGCAGTTGGCACCTCCTCAAGTGATTTGTTTCGTCCGTGCATTGCATGCATGATGCGTCAACCGGATCGGCCTCGATCGGTTGCACCAGGTTGTGGAATATACTCTTTGTGACAGGATTTGTGTGTGACATATGCACCGCCCATGCACTAATAGGAAGAAAGGAATTCGATCACTCGAGTGGTAGGAGCATCACTTGGGTGGTTCATATATTTGCAAGTGGGACTTCGTTCAGGTGTCATCTGGTCAAACTGTGGGCTCCTTCTGGTTGGCACTTGCTTTCCGTTTCTGGTGCGGAGTAAGCTTCAACATTGCTCGTCACTTTCTTAAGACTATTTGTTCTTTCATCATTGCTCGTCTGGTTAACCATTAATTGTGCAGCATGAACTCTCTGCTCCTAATTGTCTATATATTCTAGGAGAGCCACGCACTAGCTAGGCTGAGTTGTTTTGAGAAACCTGACCGACTCATCTACGCATGCATCTCCATGCTTGCATAGAGAATCTTGTCCAACACAAGGGTGACAAGTATGGGCAACTTGTTGTGTTGTGCTGCAAACAAGATTGATAGGTGTAGGGCCAGCAACTAAAGGAAAGCTCTGTCGTGCCACCCAGCATCGATCATAAGCAAGATGATTGTGAGGAGTGGAGGAGAGTGTGAGAGAGATTATCTTCCTGATTTGAAGCTTCGAATGTTTGAACAAGGATTATCCGTATTAGTGATGGAACCGAAATGGAACCCCCCTTCAACATGACTACAGCTTAATTTGTTTCCCTTGGAAAACAAATAGTACTGCAATAAAGCAGCACCAATTAATATGGATCGGGCGGAGTAGTTCCTCTTGGCCATTCTTATGTTGTCCCATGTCTTAATTATTTCCTATAAACAATTTGGCTATTTAGCTTGCAAAAGGCGTCATATA